TCAACTTTTTTCTAGCTGAACTTTAGCATTCTATAACTGTATCTTGTACTAGCTTCTACAGATAATTTGTAAGGCTAGCAAGTAATGATTTAACATCGAAAGTTTTATTCAAGATATTCTGAAAAAGTTGACATTCTCGAAAATTGTGACCTTGAATTTTTAGTCACTTCGTTTTAGTCTATCTAGGCTTGTGCTCATATTATTCCCTATAAGGGTTCAGAACGAATTTTAGCACAGGTTCTCAACAAGAAAAGTTATCTCGTTTTAGTTTTTTGCTTACGTACCTTTTAAATAAGGGCCTAAAGCGAATAAAGGACCTAAAGGAAATGAATGGTCTTAAGTTGTTAGTAACTTGGATATCGCAAAAGAAAAACGGAATAAATTTAATTTTCATGAAGTCTCGAATTCAGCGTCAAGATGTTGGTCTTAAAGTGCGCTAAGATATCGAGTATCATTTTTTGATTAAGCAGAAATATTCGCTATCGGTCTATAAAAGATCTTATGCGTGCCTTTTCTTTCATGCACGTGTGTTAAAATGTCTGAGATATTTGGACTCAATAAGGACATAAATAAATTGTTGAAGTATTGAACAAAAAATTGCAGGTTTGATGATGCCAGTAGAGCCGTAACTCATCTCGTAACTCAGAAGATTATCATATAATGGAGAAAGGGCAAATCAAGATTCTAGCAGTCTCTAAACACGTACCGAATTGGGAGAGCGCTATTTCTATTGTATATATGAATATTTGAATCCAATATTAGTTTATCTAAGTATTGGAGTACAGAAATATGACTCGCAATCCGGAATAACGAAGTAAGGTGTGCAAAGATGGAGTATGACTGTACTATAAATTTATAGTTGTCATTGGCATCTACCAAAGCCACGGACAAATTTTCTAGATCGGTCTCGGAAAAGTCCGAGATCTTGAACCGTGATCTTAATGCTCGCTTTAGCACGTGGTCATACTGAATTTTGTATTCTGACACTTTTGAGACAGTCGCGCTCGATCCGAAATCTGCCGTTTCCTTCTTATTATGAAGCTAGAAGTTCCAAAAGTTGAGGATAGTGGTCGTAGGGTTATATCTGAGTATTGCTAAGATCACTTTGAACTAGTGTTTCCAACAACAGATTAACGTGATTACATCACTTTTTTAGACTCTTGCATGCGAATATTATGTTGTTTTTTTGCTTTTTCGAATATTCTACTGAATAGTGGTGCTTAATATACGTGATTTACTGGAATGTCTGATCGTCAGTCTTTTTAACAGCTCAATCGCATGAAAAATAAAAATGGAAGATTCTAGTTGACAATTAAATCGATTTTTACAAAAATAGCTAGTCGCATATATAGTAGCTGTCATATGCTAGACGACTCAGTTCATCGAATAGCGTTAGATTGAATCGATTTCAGATAGTTCTAGAAGTATACGGATGATTGAGGATCAATATAACTATCTCTTTGTGATCGTAGAACGAAGCAGCATGAAGTGCAGTGCATTCGTTGGGCTCAATCCGCTTTATTTCCGATTTAATCTCATCATCGGTGAGAATTCTTTCGTAACCTTCAACTTCTTCCATTTCACCAAACCTCAGACTCTAAAACGTCGTTAACTGTTTTGACAAATATCGAAGTTTTGTACTGTCATTATTGTCACATGCATTGTGCTCTAGTTGTAAATAACCACGGCTAAACTAAAACTTCTATGGTGTTTCTAAATGTTTTTTAACTCGTTCAATATCACCATTCTCACATGCTAATAGGAAATTATGATTTTCAGCCCGATCCATCCAATCTGTCGTCATTGTTTGTCAATATTTTCGTACCTTATCAGTTTCACTATTACGCGCAGCCAAATAAAAATCGCTAACGCTAGATGACAATGTACTATCTGCTACTGAAATCGACGACACATTATCTGATGCTGTATTATCCATATGGTACTTATTCAAAACTTTGGTTATATTACTCGAATAGTTTTTTGCTGTCATTTTACAAAACGTTTCACCTTGATGTAACACACAATACCATATATGCAGTACGAGATAAAAGAAAAAACGTGATGATACACTGTTATCTGTTATCTGTTCTTTTTCTATTCCTTCGTTATTTAAATAGGACCTCCTAATTTTGAGATCAATTCACGAATCAGAAGTAGAGAGACGGTTTTATTTTCATAGAAATGATACTGGGTAAGGATCAACATTTTTCGAATCAATCAAATTTCAATGGATTTGTATTCAAAGCAGATGATCAATCTATATTAGTTCCTTGTTTTCCGTTGAGAACTTAGCGAATTTTTATACTTAGACAACCAACTTTTCTGGATTCGGTTCTATATTCACAGTTTTTCGCATGATTTTCATGTTAGAGTCCAACTTCATAACGCTTTATAGAGATCTTTTACTCGAAATAAAAATTTTATTTGTCAGAAGCGAGGGTGTGAGGTGTGGATTGGTTGTAAGCATGGGTGTAGGTGTGGGTGAAGTGAACATCAACATCCCTACCCACCCACACCATACCCTTTGTGCAAAAGTTGGTCGAAAACGACAAAATTGTCGCATATTTTAAACTACAGAAAAAATTAACATCAGCTCTGGTGCGAAAAATGTTGATCCCCATCTTCGTCACTTCGCGATACCCCTGATTGGAATACAAAATTTTAGAACGTACAGAACCTCAAAACATGAAAGTTGGCTAGTGCTCGTATTTACTAAAATAGAACATTGTTTGGAAACCAGCCTGTAATACTTTTGGTTGGTGTAGATGAATTCAGATATATGACATCCAAAAATTCAGAATGTAAATTTGTATTCAATTTTAGATTAATGAGTAATACTTTTCGGTTTTCATTACTATTGTTTAACATTATCTTTAATGCTATCAATGGCATGCCAACAGTTCCAAAAGGCTATTTATTAGGAGCAACGTATGAACTTGAGCCAACATCAGATAAATTATACAGAATTAATCCATTAACTGGAGAGTTTACGCTATTTACTCTTTTGAATGATTACAAACCTGACGATATTACCTATGATCTTATTAATAAAATATTCTATGTATTTTAGTTAATCCATTCAATGGTACAAAACAATACCGAAAAATTATCACAGAAAATTATGCTGAACTGTTTGGTTTACGTGTCGATAGTAGTACAGGCAAATTATATTCATTACAGATGTCAGGTGCAGAAGAAAATCCTGTAAGGTATCGTTCAGATAGATCGAATTAATTTTATAGCTACACGGTGGGTAAATATTACCAAAGTTGATGGTGTTTCACCTGATTCAATGACAATCTTTTATAATTCAACAAATCATCAATATTTTGTGACAATGGTGTCTGGTCTCAAAGATATTCTTGTTCGTATTGATTTAATGAAACAAAAAATAATAAATCGAATTTCAAATTCTGATTTACCATCCTATTTATGTTATAATAATAAAACGGATGCTTTTTATGGTATGCAACGTTCTATAAATAAGCATGGCTGTCGTTTGGTACGTTTAAATCCTTATAAATGGGACAACAGACGTTTTATCAGACGATTTCAATAATTACGAACCATCAGCTGGAAATTGCTATGAAGGATATTATTTTACAATGATTGTTTTGAGTTCAGAAACGCAGAAAATACTGACATTTGATTTAAACAATAATGGTAAATTAATATCAAATAAACTGGGAAAAGAATATTTATGTTCATTAGCATTTATTCCCACCTAGTAATGACTATTTGATGGCATCCCAAAATTTTCTCTAATAAATTTGAAGTTCTTCTTTTCTGAATAAGTCATTCTTGCAGGAACTATGCAAATTTTTTTATGCCCGGTTACAATCATTTTTCCTTGCTCAGAAGCAAATGGAAGTTGGAGGACCCGGATGTGGGGTGTGTGTAGTTGTGGATATTATTCTCGTTCTCACACCCACACCCTTTTTTCTCCTTTCTTTTAAATAATTCAATAATAATTTGATAATAGAAAAATGAACTTTCTTTCCATTCATTTAGACAACACTGCATTTTTCTATGTTATATGTTTATTTTCCTTGAAGATTTTAAAAAAAACGTTTTCTGCCATACACTTTCTTTTGGTATGATTCGTTAACTAACCATGTCGATTTCATGTTCTCACAAGTATCAATTCTTTCTTGCAGACCGATTACATCTATTCATAGCAGTGTCTTAGGTTTTATTATAAAGTTTATAAAATGATGCACTGTCCGTCTTCTACAAATGCATCATATTTCGAGTCTTATTAGCTTTATTAGTCTGATGACTTCCCGCAGAGCTCTTGTAACAAGTATACAGGTGAAATCTATTTTTCGAACGCTACTTCAACTAAGAAGTTATCAGTATACATCAAAACGATAGTGAGCAACTACATATTTATTTTTACAGTCAAATATCTCTCACGGTCACTCATTTACTGTCTCTTACCGAATTTAAGTGGACAAATTTAGTTAAGTAGGTTGAATGCCAACTTGTTTGACATGATTTCACGCATCACCATTCTAGAGAATCTCATAGGCAATCATAGTTCAAAGTTGGATGATGTTCGATGTACGTTCTAGTTTATTTTGATGTGTCAAGTTATTCTTTGATTATTTTGAAAATTTCAGTTATGAATAACAACCAAAGTTCGAATGCTACGGAAAATATTTCAGTCTCCAACACTGAAATCTCTCTACCACGTACTGCTCCCTTTTGGATTCTTCTTCTATTTGATATCCCAGGTCGAACATTACTGTGCCCGTAAACGACCGTACACTGCCGTTTACGATGACGTGAACGGCCGTATCCGCCAAAACTACGACCGTATACGGGCCGTAAATAAACCGTTTGGTATGCGCCGTATTACGGTCGTGTGAGACCGTGTTGTGTACGGCGAAAAACGACAATCGTTTACACCAAAATCTGTGCCGTAACACGGCAGTATTTTGACGAAGACGACAGTTTACAACGACGTAAACGATCGTAAATGAATGTAACCGACCGTTTTCGGTCACACATTTTGAAAGGATTTCACCAGGATTTCATTTGGATTTCACATTGATTTCACATGGATTTTATTGGGATTTCGTACGGATTTCATATGGATTTCACTTGGATTTCACAAGGATTTCATACGGATTTCACTTGGATTTCACAAGGATTTCACAAGGATTTCATTTGGATTTCATATGGATTTCACTTGGATTTCACATAGATTTCATATCGATCTCATATGGATTTCATTTGGATTTCACCAGAATTTCTTCAGTCTCTCAGTTCGATATGATTTTGATATCACCTGGATGCCATCAAAAGATTATCATCACTGCACATGCATTTTATATCGATTGCTTTTGGATTACGTCTTGGGTCTGATTTCGGCGACCGTTTTATTTGATTCCAATATAGCTAAACTTGAGAAGACTGCTACAATGTGCGTAAGTATCCTTTCATTGTACTCAGCGGCGCAAATTAGTCCCGTAACTACCGCCTTTACGCTGGCGCAGCCTTCTTTTTCTCGTGATTCAGATTGCGACGAGACAAGAATACACTTATAAAAGCACTCACCTTTGAACACCTGTAATGTACTGGAAGGGCAAACTAAATCCTGGTATATATAGAGCTGTTGCTGCAAAAGAAAACAGTGAATGATTACTTGACCAAAATCTTACAAGAAATCCAAATTTTGAAAGGCGAAATTTCGGATTGAAATGAGAAGTGAATGAGTGAACGACAAAGCAAATCCCGGTATATATAGAGCTCTTGCTACTAAACCAATCGGTGAATGAATACTCGACCAGAAATCTTACAAGAAATCCAGAT